CGGAGGGGGGGGGGGGGCGAGGGCATAGCACATGATCTGTATTATTACTGTTAGTATGAATACAGATATCTTTCTACAAACTACAGGGGGCTGCAAAGGGAATCAAATGAATGAAGGAGGGGAGGGTTTGGCAGGTGACGCCAGCTGCCCTGGTCACTTGGGGAGTGACTGCTTCACCAGGCGCTCTAGGAGTGCCTGGCAAAGCAGCAAGTGGTGCTGCGTGGCACAGAAGGGGGGGTAGAGGCCAGGGTGGCTGGCGCAGCAGCAGCAGTGCTGCATGGCACTGCTACCCTTTTTTTCACTGATGGTTTGTATGTTCCACATCTTTCAGCCCCTCTTTTAGGTTCTGCTGGTAAAAGAAGACTAGAATGAATACTATAGAGCTATGATGCTCCCTCCATCAGGGACAAAACCCAGTGTTGGTGTGCTGCTAACTCATGGATAATGCCCGTTAACAATGTGTGAGTCATGTACAGATAGACTGCGACCCTTGGCATGATGGCTGCACCTGTTTCATTCTCAAGCATGAAAAGGGAAATTTTCTTGGAAAAGATACAAGCTAGCCAATTACATCAATAGCTCACAGTGATAGGGAAAAATACAATGTGGAGGGTCATGAAGTGTACTACTACAATATAGGATGGTCATGTCATGTCATGTAACTAGAGGCGGAGTCCGCAAAAGGGAGAGTAAGAAGGAAAAGAGATAGGTCGCAATTATCCTAATGTCCCGAGTGCCTCCACTACGTTTAGTTTTTGTCGAAAGATGTTGATCTGCTCCAGGGCATCCGAGAGCCTCTTCTCTAGCTCCGCGACTCTAGCGAGTGCACGATCGCGCTCGGATTCCAGATTCAGCATAGTCTCGAGCTTCCTTGCTCTGCTACGGCGTGCAGCCAGTGTATTCTGCGAACGACGACGGGCGCGCTCCTTGGAAACACGTTCAGCAAGGGACTCTTCCTTGGTGGGCGGTGTTGTTGGGCGATTAGCATGGGTTAAAGGGGGATCATCCTTCATCACAACATCGCTGACGGATGATGAGTCGACCGCATCGGCTTCTTTGGCTGGTGGAGAATGAGAGGTGCTGGGCGACTTCACACGGTAGACTTGAGCTGGACGTGGACCATCTCGTCGAGATGTGGCGGATTCGACATAGTACGTACGGGACTCGGTGGGTGCGGCGACGGGAACCAACATGTCTGGTCCAAGTCCCTTTCGAAAGCCGGACCATCCCCCTCCACCTTCATCGTACTTTCCTCGCGTCGCACCGTCGTACGCGGCGTATGCAATCGTTTCGGAAGGTAAGTTAGGGGTGCCATTTCGGTTGAGCCTTGGTTGTTGTTTGCTGGAAGGTGTCGGCGAATGAGCTGCAAGCGCGGGTTTGATCTGTGCACCCTCGTCTGGAGTAATGGGCATAGTCGGCAGCCACATGCGTCGATCAACAGAGGGCAAGGTGGTCGTAGTAAACAGAGTTGAGGGACGAGGTTCCGTGGGTGGTCGCGGAGAGATATCCATGTGAGTCACGCGCGGGAGTGGGTGGTAAAATATGGGCCCAAGCGATGGCGTAAGCGTCGGTGGGAACTCTTATACTCGTCACGTCTGCGGGGACGAGGGACGCACGTCCGGGTATGACACAGGCTCAGGCCAAGCAGAGTCACGGGTTTATTGTCCCTGGTTCGATGTTCCCCTATTTTCATGATCGCGCCGCCTGCTGCGCATCCTGGGTTGACTGGTCGGCCAGCAGAATTTGAGACATAGGCAGGGGACATACGTAGCGTCACCACAAATCTCAAAGCCTGTGACAGTAAACATGACCGTGACTGCATTCGCTGACTCACGCGTTGGATCCTCCGATCGAATGTACCAGAAAGCCCCGACACAAACCAACTTAGTAATTGAAATCCAACCAGTAGGAATATCGGAGTTTACGGCCTCCTCATCGCTTAAGCGCTCGCCGCAGGAAGGGCGCTAAGCGAGAGAGTGACTCAGGCGGAGCAACCGATGCCTGTCCCCACAGGATGACTCAGCATCAGCTGCTGCGGGATCAAAATCCGGTGCAGATCCGGAAAAGGCAGAGACCGAATGAATTTGCTTGGGGCTATGCATTGTGCCTGTGTAAGGGATGGGTATCCCGTCTTCTAGCACTAGCATAACGGTGTCCCAGTCGAAGACGGAGTTGCGGTTGTTGCTCGTGGGATAGAGAATCGTGTGGAGCGCACGTAGCGAGCGTGGGCGGGAGTTGTAGGGTGTCTTCTGAGGCGAGGAATAGAGGCACCATCACGGAAGATGTGAAGCAGTGACACATCCGTGAACAACAGGACAAATGTAGAGGATTCGCCCTGCTCGAATCCATGCTTCCACGCAGCGTAACAGTTGATATCGCCCTTGCCGAGGAGGGTAGCGTGGCAATTCACGGCTCCAAGCGCAGTCCACACAGCGTCAAGTAGCAAGCTTGCCATTTTGAACAGTACTGTTCTGTTTTCGGTGAGTGGGTGTCGTCATCGGATCCGCCACTAGCAAAATGATTCGGCAGCAGGTTAAGACCAAGGCGGGTTGATACCAGCGAGGGCGTAATTGGGTAAACGAGCAGAGAGTCGGTACATCATAGTCCGTGACAGAGGAGTAGGCAAGCGGACGGATCGGTGGACAGGTCGATGCGGGTGTGTCGGGGGAAGGTAGCCGGTCGCCGGACTGCCCGACAGGCAGTACGCCAGTGACGTGGTGCAGCTGCGATGTCTGCACTGCGGTGGCTTTCCACTTTACCCCGTAGCAAAGCAGGAGTAACAGACAACTGAGGAACTGGTGTATATGAAGGCATGGACGTTAGCAAGAAGGCTTTACGGCCTTTTGATACCGCTTCCCCGAACACCACGTTGTCGGTTTCATAAGCGGACGATGCTTACGAAATTCACTCTCCCAATTTGAGCGATCGACACGATGCCCCGCGATGTATATCTGAATCTCCGTGCTCATTTGCTTGACGTTAACGACGATATCAATGTCTCACACTGCGGCTTGTGGTCTTCATTCACGATGCTTCTCGCACGGACGGATGAATGAAACGTGCATCATGCGTCCACGTGGTCGACAACAACGTTGAGCTTCTCCAACAGCTGTATCGTCGTCGATATTCAGCATAACAGAGCTGGAGTGCTTTGGTGTCTGACGATCTTGTTCAAGGCTACTATTTCGAGGGTCGAAGCAATTCATAGCACCCCGCATGCATGTTGTCGACATGGGCCAATGGCGATGCGTCGTCAGCTGCATGCCCTGAGGTCCCCCTGTCTGCTCGTTGCCGCAGGGCTATCACCGGACAAGAACACCTGTCGTTCATGCGTTTGGATCCATTCCTTGTGCTCTGAGAACTAGGCCCTTCGTCTTGCCTCCATGAAGCTATGTTGATAGCCTTTCTGGTACGAAACGTGTCCTTGGGACATGCGCGAAATGAGCTTCTGTGCTTGGAGGTAGTGTCTCGTTGTCAGCATTCTTGGACATTTGCATATGATCTTTCAAACCTTGTTCGCATATAAATACTACGGTCATATCATGCAAGACAAGCACTGGACTCCCGTACTCCAAGTGTCAACGAACAACTGTCCCAGCATGCTCACTCTCAATCGCCTGACTCTTGCCCTTGCTCTGATTGGCGGCATTCTTGCTGCCCCCGCCAAACGGACCGTTGCCTACTACAACCCCAACAACGGCGGTGGCTCCGAGGTGGACGTAAGCGGATCAGAACAATTTTTTGATGTGGATCCTGACTACGGGTGCTTCCTCCTAAGATCGTCTCCCCAGGCTTGGGCGAGCCTCTTAACGTGATCTCAGATCCGCTCCTCACCTGTTCGGATCTTCTAACCGCTGTCCCGCACAGGTCATCATCTCGGGCCTGTCCGATTCGACCATCATCGGCTCGCAGAACAACTTTCTCTCGTTTGCTCAGGACGTCGGGTTCAGCACCGAATGCGTAAGTTGATGGATACCAGGATCAGCGGGGAAGGGGTTGTTGATAGGTCGCTTCTAGCTCGGCATCCACCTGGGTGATCCTCAGCAGGCCAATCTCGGCGATGGGAATGGAGCTGTGGACCAGCTTGTGGAGTATCGCGAGAACTACAACCTTGGCGGCACCTGTCTCGAATCCCTCATCGGTGGTAACCATTTGCGGGGCTGGATTCAGAATGGTCCAAGCGCCAACTCTGGCGCTTGGTTCCTTGCTGTTTCGCAAGAGGAGAACGTTGCGGAGGGACACAATATCGTTCCCAACGGGTGAGTGCACCAAACTCCTGTCCGAGACAGGGCCGGTCTAACGGATCCCAAAGGTATAATATCGGCCGTGATAACCTCGTCGCCAACGCGAACGCCTGGGCCGCCGATCAATCCGCTTACAGCCTCACGGTGGAATATGTGAGCGGCCTTCTGCCGTCTGGCTCAAACGGTATCAACCATGGTGCGCATATTCATATCTATTCCCGCATTTTCTATGATGGCGGGCTGGCTAATCAGGGTACATTTGCTTCTTTCAGGCATCTCTCAGGATGGCCAGGTCGCTGTTATTACTGTGACGAAGAATTAGTTGGAACCGATACAAATATACATAAGATAGCCGTAATATTGCTCGATCAACGTCGCGACCCATGCATCTCCGCGGGCGTCCGTGTGTAGAGAGAATGTGAACACCATGAGCTGTACATCGGTCGCCGCCCCTAATAAATCTTACCCGAGTTGATCAAATCTTCCCGAACGGCCACAAACTGCCAAGAAGACAAGAATACCCATACACCGAGAAGTTTCATAGAGCAATTTCCTCCGGTGCCCCCTCTGCGGAGACACCTACAATGGAAAAGCAGGAGAAATATTTCAGGGGTCCCACCCTTGTTAAAAGTCATAATGTAGAGATAATATACCCGAAAATTCTCCGTCACTTTAGTACATTGTTGTTCTCATGGCCCTCAAAATACCTGCCTATCACTTATGAGCATGGCTTCTTTATTTTTAACAACACTGTGGGAGAATTTTATTCTAAGACCCCTAAACTATCCCCCTTACGAGTTTCCTGTCACTGCCACAGAGAATACGCAGTGAAAAAGTTGGGGCAATTGCCCCCGCAGGGGCATTGAAAGGGTGTATTATCCGCAGAGTGGGCGCACACCGGAGGAAATTGCTCAAGTTTCATAGAATGGAGGAGGGCTGGATTATGCTTGTTCCTGGCCAGGCGGCTCAACGCTGATTGGTCTTGCGGGGACACCCGGTCTTCCACGCCGCGAAGCACGCTTGACACGACCCCATATTCTTGACCAGATCCGCAGCGAAGATCTTACACACTGAGGCCCCATTCGTAACTCAGATATAAAGAGGGCATGCGACACAATTCTATGCCGTCGTTTGCCTTATTACGCACTGAGTAGAAGTCACGTTTCCTTATTCCGCTACTGGGTAGCCGTCCCCCCATGGTCGAGTCGAAAAGTAACGAAATAGCCAGTATGATACGCATTTCTCCATCAAGTTCCACCCACCCTGCGGAGATGGCGAAGAAGTACCCCATCTGGTGGTCGAACGCATCCTTTTTCGTGGGTATGCATATCGTTGGGGTTATTGGTGCGGTATGGCTTTCCCCTTGGGGTTCGCTGAAGCGTCAGACCCTCTACTTGTGCATCTGGAGTTGGCAATTGGCAAGCTTTGGGGTCACCATTGGATACCATCGGTACGCAGGTGTATCATCGCTCCACAGACAGTGTCGCTGATACTGTACTGCACAGTCTATGGTCCCACAAAGGGTTCACCGCACGTCTTCCCCTGCGGATCGTGCTTGCCGTGATGGGCTCTCTTGGTTTCCAAGGCTCTATCAAGGTGTGTTCGGTCTTGACATGAGACTTCGTCGTTGACATCCGGATAGTGGTGGGTTCTGAGGCACAGGCTGCACCATCGGTTTACCGATGATCCGGTCCATGACCCTTACGCTGCAAGTCTCGGTCTCTTGTTCTCTCACATGGGCTGGATCTTCTGGAAGCCAAAGTACGAAAGACTGGTGTTGATCGAGAAGGGGGACTTGGAGCGTGACCCCGGTACGTTGAATAATGCTGTCCCAACAATGCGGATCACAAACCTGACTACATGTGTAGTCGTTCGATTCCAGCATCGTCACTATAGTGTGTGCTGAAGTTTGGAGAGTTGCGAGGAGCTGACCGCGGCTGCAGTTCCTATCGCACTTTTTTTTGGTCTGGTCTGCCCAACTGTCATTGCTCTTGCTTGGGGTGATATGCTGGGAGGCTTCATCTGGGGAGGAGTGATTGCTCGGTTACTAAGTAAGCTGTATTCCTCTGTACGGATTTGCGCCAGTTGAATGCGTTGCAGTCTGGCATTGTACTTTTATGATCAACTCGTATGAACTTCTTTCTTCAGTACGACACAGGCTCATTCTTCATGTAGCTTGGCTCATTGGGAGGGACTTCAACCATATACTCGAGATATATCTGCTCGAGGGTCTTTCGTGAGTGCGAATCCTTCTGTTGGCGATGACTGTACTTATGTGCTGCAGATAATTGCTGTGATGACATCAGGAGAGGGAAACCATAACTTCGTAAGTCTCCATCCCCTTGCAACACGGGGACTTGACTAATGCTCCTTAGCATGTACGTATAGACATTTGTCCGAGCAGGCTGGCTTGATGTTCAACTACGGTCTAGCATGCATTTCCCCAGGATTTCCGTAATGGGTAAGAGAATACCAACATGGATCAATCTTGCGTGCTCATCAGATTACAGACCTCATCCTCTCGACTGGGATCCCACTAAATGGTTGATTTGGCTGTTCCATAAATTTACACCATTTGCTCCGCGTATTCGTGTAACTCCAGAGCCTGATATCCTGAAGGCTCGTGCACACGTTCTGGATGCCGAGGCTGACTTGGACGGTGTCGACAGCATCAAGAAGGCGGCACTTCAAAAGAAGGCAGCTGAACTTCGCGCGTTGGTACCGCCCTACGAATGGGGTATTCCTGAACATAAATTGGAAGCCTGGGGAAGAAAGCAATTGGAGACCTACGTTGAGAACAGGGGAAGGAAGGTCGTGCTCGTTGACGGCTGGTTCGTCGACGTCACCTCATACATCAAAGATCATGTGAGACGGTCTACTTTCCACGGATGACGTACAGATGCTCACTAAAACTCCAGCCCGGTGGTTCCAGTATCCTGTCTAGATACCTGGCTGTTTCTCCGGTAAAGGAGACTGTTCACGACTCCGGGGTAGACATGGAGGAATCGGACGACGGCGTCACCGAGGCCCTGAAGGACGCGACTGCCGCGTTCAATGGTGGCCTCAACAACCACTCCTCTGCTGCCAAGGCAAAACTGAAAGCGCTGCGTGTTGCTCGCATGGCTGCTTGATTGCGAACGGGTGGATGACTCGGTAGCCCATACCAGGCCTGTTTTTATTCCCGCTTCCCTTGTCTACTAGAAGCTGTACACATAGACATTTCTCACTCCGCCAAAACATGGTACAACATTTATTGCACAATTCGTTGTGTAAACGTATTGCATTGAATAGACAAATCTTATTAGAAAAAAAGCTGGACTGCCTGAAAAGAAAAATGATGGAAATTTTGATTGGGCAATCAAAATTTCCATCATTTTTCTAGGGATGGCAACAGTCCAGTCTGGTCCAGTCCAGTCCTGGATGGTCCCAGATTTTTGGCAATAGTCAGTCCTGGTCCAGTCCTGTGATGGTCCAGTCCTGGATGGTCCCAGGACCATGAACTGCCAGTCCCAGTCCAGTCCACTAAATGCTGACATAATTCTATTCAATAGTCAATGTGGGGTCATGGCATTGAGCAGGAGGAAGTACACGCAAGATTCATCATGCACCTGAAATGACATGCCAGTCAGTCAGATGATATGCCGACCTCTTCCAACACCATGACATGACCAGTCACCATCCCTGCAATGCCAAAACTGTCAAACTCTGCACCCAATTGCATGGCGAAATGGTGGCTGCGTGGGACCGGACTGGACCGGTCCTTCGCAGTTCAGGACTGAACCGGATTTTCCAACAGTGTTGGTCCTGGTCCAGTCCTCGGACGGTCCAGTCCTGGACTGGATCGGCAGGACCGCGGTCCTCAAAGTCCGGTCTAGGACTGATGCCATCCCTACCCAATCGAGAGAACGTGCACGTGTTGATGTGTCACGGGAGCAGATGGAGACGCGTCGACGCGACTTGATACCTGGCGTGACTTTACCGCGCGCGGCATATACGACAACGACAACGACAACGGCCAACGACAACGACAAGCATCTTCAATGCCTCCTAGACGCTCAGTTCGATCAGTTAGCGGCACGGTGACTGCGGCCCCTGCTCCTGCTGCAGTAAGATCTAGACGCTCTGCTCCTGCTAAAGCATCTGTTGCGGTGAAATCAGAAGTAAAGGACGAACCCGACAGCGATGAAGACGTTAATTCAGAGGTGCAGACCCCTCAGCCGGTGACGAAAGGTCGCAAATCAGTAGCAACCAAGTCCTCCCGTCCAGCGTCTACTTTGGCAAAGCGCTCTTCAGGAACGGCTTTCGGCGACGAGGGCACGAAGGCTGAACCAGCACCGAAGAAAGGGCGCGCAGTCTCGACCTCAAAACCGCCTTCAAAGAGTAAAGGAAGCCAGCCGTCTAAAGGCGTAGAAGAGGAAGAGGAACTTGCAGAGGCAGAGGCGACTGCGGTAGAAGACAGCGGGAGTGATGGCGATGAGGGGACTGTGACTAGACCGAACCGCAGGGACATGAAGAAACCTAGAACTGCATCGCCTGAAGATGAGGACGAGGAAGAAGACAACGCGAACGCCATCCATGTCGAAGCGCCTCATACGCCCAATGCGAAGCAACGTAGAGTACCTTCAACAAAGGTTTCTATGCCGCACCCCAAAGACGCCGATAATCGTGAGGCGAGCTCTCTATCTGGCGGACGTCCCTCCAGTACCCCGTCGAGAACACCAACAAACACGTCAGATGATGATGAGGAAGAGGAGCAGGATCTCCTGGCTGCCGCTGCTGCTATGGCTACGCCAAGGCGACCCACTCTGATTCCCGCCACTCCGGCTACCGTGCGGTCTTCTCTACTAGACAGGAACGCGCCGACGATATTGCAGGAACCTGAACCCAGTGGACCAAAATCCCGACTCGTGATTCACAAGATGGTTCTAATCAACTTCAAATCGTATGCTGGTCGTCAGGAGATTGGCCCATTCCACAAGTCATTTTCGTCCATCGTGGGGCCCAACGGCTCGGGCAAGTCTAACACCATTGATGCGCTTCTGTTCGTATTCGGATATCGTGCGGCCAAGATGAGGCAGGGCAAATTATCCGAACTCATCCACAATTCAGCCGACTATCCAGACTTGGAGTACTGTTCTGTGGAAGTTCACTTTAGAGATATCATTGATCTGGTGAGGAGACGTCAATTACTTGTATTGGCTCTTTGTTAACCATTGTGAACCTGCTAGCCTGGGCCCGATGCTTTCGAAGCCGTTCCTAATTCGGAGCTCGTCGTATCTCGAAAGGCTTTCAAGTCGAACTCATCTACATACACCATCAATGATCGCAATTCCAATTTCACCGAAGTTACTACCTTGTTGAAGGGCCGCGGCATCGATCTGGATCACAAGCGTTTCCTCATTCTTCAGGTCAGAGGGTTAATACTTCTTGCAGGCTAAACTTACCTCCTCTCATAGGGCGAAGTGGAGTCAATCGCTCAGATGAAGCCGAAAGCGCCGACTGAACACGAAGACGGTCTCCTTGAGTACCTTGAAGATATCATTGGCACCGCGAAGTATAAACAAGCTATCGAAGAGTCCCTAGCAGAAGTGGATCGCTTGAATGAAGAACGAGGGGACAAACTCAACCGTCTACGTATCGTGGAGCGGGAGAAAGCGAGTCTGGAGGTGAGTTACGCAATCTATTCCAGATACGAATAATCCCGACATCTTCTGCAGGAGAAGAAGAAAGAAGCTGAGGCGTATCTGAAAGATCAGAACGAGCTGACGCTCGCCCAAGCATTGCTCTGGCAATTCTATATGTGGCAGCTCCGGGCCAATATGGAAATCACAGGCAAGAATATTGTAAGCGCATGGCGTCCGTTCGGTGCCTAGAATTTATGACACCTCGCAGGATCTGTTGGAGCGAAAGCTTAAGGACGAAACCGAACGCCATCAGGAGCAGATTAAGGACACTGAAAAGCTGCAAACTGCATACGATGAGCGGTTGAAGGCTTTCGAGATCGTCAAGAAAGAGACCGATAAGTTGGTGAAGGAGCTGGGCACGCATGAAAAGGAAGAGATTCAGTTCCAGGAGAAGAAGAAGCATCTCGGCACTAAGGCTAAAAAACTGAACAAATCGCTGGCAGATGTACGCTCGTATCTGAGGTCCTTTTTAACGCCGCTTAATGGATATTTAGGATCAAGCGGCCAAATCAACCGCAGACGCACTTGTGCGAGACAAGGCCGATGAAATCAAAAGGGTTCGTAAAGAGATCGATGAACAAGAAACTATGCTAGTGAAAGAGGAAGCGGAGCTCGAAAACATCGCTGAGGGACTGAGAGGCAAGACCGAGGTGTTCAACACTCAGATCCAGGTAAAGCAGAAGGAACTCGAACCTTGGATGACCCAAGTTCGCAAAATTCAGTCTGACATCGATGTTGCTACAAATGAGAAGATGTTACTAGAAGAGAAAGCCGCATCCGTGGATAAAGGTGTCGATCAGGCCATGGCTGCCGTAGAAACCATGAAGGAAGAGCTGAAAGGTAAAGAGGAGAAACTTCGGCAGCTTCATAAGGAGAAGCAGGACCTTGAGGGCCAGTCCAGAGATGGCAAATCGAGATTGAAGGTAATTTGTCTGTGAACGACCGATTTTTTTTGTTTAATTAACCTTGTTCAGGTCATACAGGACGAGGTTGATAAGATGAAAACGAAGGTCAAGAATCTCCGCGAACGCTCTGACGAGGCTCGAGCCTCCCTGTCTGCAACTCGTTCGGAAGATGCTGTCTTGGAAAGCCTGACCAAGCTTCGAGATACGGGGCGCATCAAAGGCTTCCATGTGCGTGATTCTTGTATTGAATGTGCTAAGTCACTGAACATTTAAAAAGGGACGGTTAGGAAACCTTGGTACCATTGCTGACAAGTACGACGTCGCTGTGTCTACCGCTTGCACCTCTCTGAACAACCTGGTGGTCGACACGGTTGAACAAGGCCAAGCTTGCATAGACTATCTTCGCAAGCACAACATTGGTCGCGCCTCGATCATTGTGTTGGAGAAGTTACCTGCTAGAAATCTTGATCCAATTGACACACCCGAAGGCGTGCCTCGCCTCTTCGATCTCATCAAACCGAAAGACCCGAAGTTCGCTCCTGCGTTTTACAAGGGCCTGTTCAACACCCTTGTAGCAAACGATCTCGAACAAGCGAATCGCATTGCTTTCGGCGCGAAAAGATGGCGTGTGGTCACACTGGCTGGTCAACTGATTGACACCTCCGGGACAATGTCTGGAGGAGGAAACAGAGTCGCTAAGGGCGGGATGAGCTCGAAACTTGCAGCTGACCGTGTAGAACCTTCAGTCGTGGCACGATATGAGAAGGAAACCGCCGATGCAGAGGAACGGGCGCAGAGGCAGCAGGCGGAACTACGACAAGCAGAGACGCAAACAGAGCTAGTTCAGAAGAGCATTCCCAAAGTGGACATGGCCATGTCAAAAGTTCAGCTAGATATCAAAGGCTTCGAGACTCGCCTAGATGAGGCACAAAAGCGGGCAAAGGAGCTTCAGTAAGTCACCATATGATACGTACAAGAGCGTTCTGATGCATTATTCAGACTACAAAACAAGCCGGATGCCAACGATGCTAAACGCGTCAAGACGCTTGATGCAGACATTGCTAGCTATGCTAAGGACCTTGAAAAAGTGAAGAAGAAGTCCGACGCCATCGAGTCCGACATTCGTGATCTGCAGGAGAAGATCCTGGAAGTGGGAGGTGTAAAATTGCGGTCGCAACAGTCCAAAGTGGACGGAATCAAGCAGTTGATTGATCTAGCCAACGAGCGCATGAACAAGGCGGAAGTCACTCAGGCCAAAGCCACGAAAGACAGTGCGAAGTTGGAGAAGTCCATTGAGACCCACACCAAACATCTTGATGACGTGCAAGTAGAAGTAGAAGCACTAGAAGCCGATTATGCAAGCTCTGCCTCCGATCTCCAGGTGATCCGGGAAAATGTGACGAAGGCTGAGGCTGCACTTGATATAGCGAAGGATCAGTTGGAGGAGATGAAGTCCGATCTGGACGAAAAGACTTCCTACATCAAGCAGTTCCGTGCGCTAGAGGTGCATCGTCTCCTCCGCGGAGCGCAAACTTTTGGCTAATTGGGATGTTAGATGGAACTCAAACAAAAGCTTGATGAAGCAGGAAAATCTTTGGAAGATTCGAAGCGCAAGTTGGATCATTGGAAAGGCAGACACGAGGAGCTTCTGCTTGAATATGTTGAGTGAGTGCTTCGGTCTTATGGCTGGAATGGCTTCAAATGTTATCACAGTGACGATGAGGACGACACGCCGCCTGAAAGAGAAAAGGAGTCTGCTTCCGATGCCGCCGAATCCGCAAACACGAAGCCTGTTCCCGAGCAAATAAATGAAGAGGAAGTGGGTGCTAAGCCCGAAAAGCATATCCATCGAGAGAAGCAGCGTCATGGGAATGAAATTCCTATCTATTCCGATGATGAGTTGCAGGGCTCTAGCCGTGACCAGCTAATCGCTCAAGTCTCTCTCCTTGAAGGTATGCTGGTGCGAATTTCAATTGAGTTTGTCTCATGTCATTACAGAACGAGTGCAGAATCCACCAAATATGAGTGTACTGGCGGAGTACCGCAAACGGGAAGCAAATTTCCTCGAGCGCGCACAAGACCTAGAACGAGTCACTGCATTGCGCGATGCTGAGAAGCGACGACATGACGAGCTGCGTAAGACCCGTCTGGAAGAGTTCATGGCCGGCTTCAGTGTCATTACCTCCAAGCTCAAGGAGATGTACCAGGTGCGACCATCATTCCCATTCAACCTCTAACATATTAAAGTTCCGTAGATGATCACCCTTGGTGGCAACGCAGAGCTTGAGCTTGTTGACAGCATGGATCCGTTCTCCGAAGGCATCAACTTCAGCGTCATGCCACCGAAGAAAAGTTGGAAGAACATATCCAACCTATCGGGCGGTGAAAAGACGTTGAGCTCTCTCGCTCTTGTATTCGCTCTGCACGTTTTTAAGCCAACGCCGTTGTACTTCATGGACGAGATTGACGCAGCCCTTGATTTCAGGAACGTCTCGATCATTGCAAACTACATCAAGGATCGGACTAAGAATGCGCAATTCATCATTATCTCTTTGCGAAACGACATGTTTGAACTGAGTCATCGCCTCATTGGCATCTATAAGACAGTGAACGCGACCAGTAAGTTCATACGCGGTGACAAAGTAGAACGAATCTCTAACACCACGACAGAGAGTATTGCGATCAACAATCACGCGTTGACTGTTGGGGCCTGAGACGCTCTTCTGTACTACTTTGGTTTTGGATCGATAATAGCATTGTACTTGTACGTCAAATGACCATTGCGCCGTCTTCGTGATCCAAGTCATCTCCACTCTCCTTCTGTGCCTCAGCGATCGCCACACAACTAGGCACAGGCTAGATCACCTATCATTGCCCCCTTGTCATTGAAACAACTCGGTAATTAATGCCCGGCCACCCGCGTAAGGAAATTGATGCACCTGGCGAGCTTAGTTCTCATTGCAGATCAAAATCTCCTGGTTCTAAGCGCAGCCCAGGACTGTACTAGACGGCACTCATTCGGCATAGTTAGTCTGCGGAGTTGTTGTCGCGATCGTCCCAGTGATAGTGCACAGTAAGACGAGTGATGAGACGACGAAATGAAATGACAGCTTCATGTTCGTCGAAAGTGCGACAGCGGGTTGGGCTGGGTCGGTTGGAGAACGACTGTGTGAAACCATTGAGCCTGGTCAGACATTCCCGACTGGTGTCTGTTTTTATACCAAGAGCATCTACCGGCTCTACATTTGCAACGGGCTTCCTCAAAGATTTCGATTGAACAGAGTCGATCGCAATATTCTGCATCAGCCAGTCATCACAGGTAGTCATCAAGAGAAGAGGCACCGTCATTTCGCGAAGAATATGACACGCTATTCTTGAATAATAAATCGATTCTTGCAAATCGCTCTACATCGTCGACAGAGGTACCTGGCTACAGGGGGTGGGAGGCATACCGTGGTGCTCTGCATTACAGTAATTGGGTGTGGGTATGAAATAGAAAAACAACCGACCAGGGTAGCTAAGCGGTGGGTCAGGAGAGCGTCGTGCGATGGATAGGAGCGTAAGGTAGGAGGTATCACAAGACATAAAGAAGAAAAACAGTCCAGTGTGTCCATGACGACAAATGCAACGTCCTTGTCCGCCTACCAGAGCCACGCCCTCCATCACATCCCTTTACTCCTTGTGGCGCATCACCTATATCTGAGCGATATAAGGAGAGATATGGCTTCCCCATCTCACATGATGATGCACCCACCATCCTTCCCTGTGTCTTGCTCATTCCGGCTCAAGATTGCGTCCTGGGGAGAGATGGGCCCGGCAGCAGCGACATTATTTCTAAGCCTTTGGATGGCACGCTTGTCGTTCTGTTCAGCGGCTTTCTTGTACCATTGAATTGCCCTAAACATGAAAAATCAGCTGCTGCCCCATTGGTGTTCTCCCTCCCCGTTCTCCTCCCGATTCGTCTGACCGTGCTCAAAAGCCGACAGGGATAAGGGGGAGGTGTACACGCAAACGCAATCGACTTACTCGTGCAAATCCTGCTGTACGCCAATGCCCACTTCCAAAAAGTAGCCCACCGCATATTGAGCCTTCGCCAGTCCCTGCTCCGCCGCCTTCCGTGCCCACAGGTAAGCTTCTGTATCGCTTTGTGGAAGCACACCTGGAGAACCGACCAGGTACCATGCGGTTAGGGCGAAGCATGCGTCGCGGTGATTTTGTTGCGCGGCAATGTTCTGCGTGAAGCGTTAGCGTAGCCCTCACTCCCCCTGCACGAGGATTGCGTGCAAAAAGCGCTGAAAGCCTCACGTAGTAGTGTATACTCAACGCTGGGTCCTGCGGACAGCCCATCTTCCCATATTCATAGCACTCGCCTAGTCTGTATGCGCTAGGTGCATACCCCAACTCTGCCGCCTGAGCCAATAACTCCGCCGCGTACGCATAGTCCACGAAGATGACATTCTCCACTCCTCTCTCGTGGAGCAGAGCCAGCTCGTGCAACGCGTGGGGGAACTCGTGCGTCGCATGCTCTGCTGAACGCTTCAGCCATTTAACGCCTTCCTTCGGTGAGCGCGAAAGACCAAGCTCGCCGTTCAGTTCTGCCAAGCCGAGTCGGTACATCGCACCCGGGTGAAGGGCTGCGGCGGCTTTGCGATAGAACTGGACGGCCTTGGCACTCTCGCGCCTGCAGCCCCAGCCATTCTCGCAGCATGTGCCAGCACGGTAGGACGCATCGGGATGTCCGTGTTTTGCCGCGAGGACAAAAAGTGGGTATGCGCGGTCGAAATCCTGTTTTCCCCGAGCAGTGCCTAGCCCGTTCGCGTAGCAGTCTGCGAGGAAGTACTGACTCGGCGAGTGACCCCTGTCGGCGAGGCGCTTAAGCAGTCCCAGAGCTTCGCGTAGCAGCTCAGTTTGGCGTGCCTCTGCTTTCTCTTGTGCTACGGGATTGGACGCGTCCCCTGCCGATATGGCCGTGGTTGGGAGAGACTTTGCCGCGTCGATCATGAAAACTGCGAACTCGAACTGCAGTTCCGGGTCGTTCGTCTTCTTCGCGTTTGCACGGTACAGCTCCAGTGTACGATCATGACTCAGAAGAAGAGCACTTTTCCCTGGGCGAAGGTGGGAGTGGTCGAGCAGGGGTGGAGCGGCGAGACTTGCAGTATCCCCGCCTTTCTGCGAGGGAGCGTACATGTTGTAGCTGTATGTCGAGGCTCCAGAGTTGCCCGGCAAGTGTCCATTCACACTAGAGGGAGAACGAGACATCGGCTGTTGCTGGTAGGAGCCCTGGGGCGGGGCGTACAGCGAGTCCCCGTTTCCTTGTCCTCCAGTTGTGGGATGGTTGATACTGCTCTGTGATGGCGTTGGGGATCCCTGGTGCAATGGTGGTGAGGCAGGGTAGTACCCGCCCGCGGATTGAGGGGGAGCAGAATATCGAACAGCATCGTAAGAGGTTGACATGGCAGTTGTAATAAGTAAAAGATGTTTGAAAACGTGCACGGTTCGGTGCGCTAGATGACGCGGCGCTACCTGTTGAATGGTAAATCTTGTCGCCGGCGAGTCCGCAGCAACGGAGATGGCAAGTCAGATGCTAACAGCTACGCTGGTCGTCGTCGTCGTCGTCGCTGTCGTCGAGTGACGTGGAGGGCGAGTGCTGGTCAGCGCCGTCCAGTCCTGCAGGTGGTCGTGAAGCAAGAGATGACGGTGGCAAAGTCTAAAGGCACCGCCACCCACGTCAGTATGAAGTATTAATATTTTATCAATGAGCTGTCTGTCATTGATAATATTAATAATAAGCAGGGTTACACATTGCTACAAGATAAGTTATATTCCGAGAGTAAATAATCGTGAGATCCAAATAACATGAAAATAGATATCAAAGCAGTACCACCCCATCAGATCCCAATATGAACAAAAGCAGCCCAGCGATGCATCGGCATCCCCTCTCTCCTCAGCTCACGAACCGCACTCTGCATGGCCCTCGCAGCGCAACGTGCGTCCATCCCCCTTCCCATCCCTTCCAGCGCCTTGTAAAAATGCCATGCCAGCGCGGGCCCATCTCTGTCCGCCATCGCCCATGCTGTGGCCAGCACACCGCGGAATCCAGCGATCTGCAGTCCCGCAGCTAGGTGCATGCTCTCGTCAGGTAAAGAGACGCTCTGTCTCGCTGTATGACATGCGCTGAGAAATGCAAAGTCCGCTTGGTCCAAGCGCAAAGAAATGATTTGGTGGAGCATGAGCCGGCCATCGCAAAGGTCGAACGCACTGTCCAGCGGATGCTCTGAGTCCCAGTGTCCATGGCAACAACAATGTACCCAGTTGTGCGATGTGAGCGCGGAGGTGAAGGAGGATACGGACGCGGTGTCTTCGCGTAGGAAGGTGATGCCCGGTGAGAAACGTGACTGGGCCAGGACTTCGATCTCCACCCCTGCAGCACGGAGGGGGGCGTTGCCCGGCGTGGACGCCTGTGAGATAGCGACCATACGGGCTGGAGTATCGCACGATCCACTGGCCTGCGAGTTGCGCGCGGCCAGGAGGGACGAAAGGGTGGTCGTAAAAGATGAAACGAAAAGGTCTGCAATACCCGGCTGGTCTGTGCGGCTATCATATGGGCCCGCACACTGAACAGGCAGGAGACTCAAAAGTCCCGTTGGCATCCACCATACCCGGAAGAGTTCTTCTGAAACCGACGGCGGGGGAGCGCACGACGCGAGCGCCTCGGCGACGTTGGACAACCCGCCATACCATAGACGAGAGGAAACGACGCGCAAGAGCTGCTCGATGAACCGGCACCCATTCTGATCCCTGGGGATACGGAGAGCCTTCGAAAAGACAAAGTTGAGCTGCTTGACGGTGTCTATGTTCAGTCCCTCTAGAGAGATACACCTGACCATTCCCTGAGGGTGTATGATGAGCGCATCACTCCTGTACTTGCTTGCGTTGAGGATCACAACCGGGCCTTCTGCGGCAGCCTTTCTTAACTCGGAGAATGACAGGGGCTTGAGGAACCCTTCAAATTCCGGAACCTTCCTCACTTGTTCGATCAGGAACTCCCAGCGTTCTGCCGTCCGCCGGCGATGCTGAGCGCGTTCCTCCAACTGCCGCTCAGTGAGCTTCGCCGTGCTCATACCGTCATACTCGAGGGACTGAGCAACAAGGACCAGTTCACGTGCCAAACCCGGTGCGCTGTTTTCCAAGCTACTGAAATCCGTCCGGAGCTCCATCATCGATCGCCAGAGGACACTGCGTCCCTCTTCCAGCAACTCAACTGCGCGCTCCAGCTGTCCGGCCTGGATAGCCGAAGCGGCGGCGTCGGACGCCAGTTGACTGGCATAGTTGATGAGCTTGGCGTGCCTACGGCTCGAGTTGAGGCCGAGCCACGCAAGCCGAGGGAGCATCCCGATCGCTGCTGAGAAGGCATTGACCGCGTCCTTGGGTCGGTTGTTGTCCTGCGCCAGTCGGGCAGCAGCGAGTGCAGACTGGAAGCGGTTGTCGATGAAGCCCTCTGGCACGGCGTACGAGACCGCGTAATACCGAAGGGAGATGTCCAGGTCTTCCTTCTCCCCCTGCGCTTCGTAGCGCATGCTGAAGAGACTGGCGAGGTCGGCAAGGTACTGCGAGGTCTTGGGATGGGCCGCAGCACGGGCGGCAATCGCAGCCTCCTTCATGATATGTGCGCATTTGTCAAAGTCGCTTGGCTCGTTATGCAGCTGGTACCGGTGTGCAAGGGAACGGCCATACCGCCAGAGGATCATATGCCTCTCCGTCAGCCCAGTGGCGACTGTAGCCAGCGCAATCTCGTGGTTAATAATAGCTTCATCCAAGTCCGTCTCGTCCTTGCCAGCTTCATACCGCTTGGAGAGGTATCCTCCAAGCTCGGAGTAAAAGTTCGGCTTCTCGTAGTTCTCTCCCGCTCCGGAAACGCATTCCGTCTGGTAGCGAACGGAAAAATCTATGTCTTCCAGCCGCGCATGCGTCTCAAACTGGACATCGTATATGGCCGCGAGCGCGCGGGTAATACAGGGGAGGAGAGCGAGCGTGCACTTGTTTGCGCGCACCCGTGTCGCAGCTTGATCGAGGTATTTGTATGCAGCGTCGAAATCAGCCTGGTCTCCACCGTGCACAAACCGGAGTGCGTGTGCGTTTCCAAGGGTTGAGAGTGTAAGTTCGGTCTGGAGCGAATCTGGGCGAGTGCGTTCCAAGGCCCTATGTCCGGCTTCGATAGCGTTATCGATGTCGATCAGCCGGCCGGCCATGCGGAATCGGAATGAAAGAAATACGCAAAGATTGAGGAAGAAGCTCGGCGGTTCGTCGGGTCCACTCGTCTCGCTTATCAGTGTCTGGTACGCGATAGCCTTGTCGAGGTCCTTCAGCCTGCCCTCGACGCGGGAGAGGGTAAAGTACGCCATAGCAAGTGACTGGATGACATTCCTATCCTCGAACCGGGTGACATTTGGCCGTATCTCCCGAGCCTGTCGCACGCTCTCCTGTGCAGCGGCCAGGGCTTCGTGCAGATATTGCACGCCCTCTCCGCCGTCGAACCTGTCCTGACAGGTGCTAGCCAACATGTGGAGGAGACAATGCCTTCTCCTATTGTTGGGGCGGATTTCGAGTGCCTGGCGTACAAGCTCATCGCTTTTGTAGAGATATGTCCAGTCTGAGCAGCCCGTGAGATGCCACTGCCACCTATATGCGCGGCTAAGGATCCCGAGGCCGAGTGCCTTCCATGGGTCTTTTTCTCCCAGCCTGTCCACCCCAGCAGACACGAGCGTAATAGCCTCACTCAAGTCACCCCCCGCGCGTATGACAGGTATATGGTAGGTCAGCAGCCACCCAGTGAGCAAATCCAACCCATCACTATACCGCGCGCTATCGCCTGAGCAGTCGGAGTCTGCGTTCGCCCGGGCGTCGACAACGCACTTGTATGCGCGCTCGAGGACGTCCGTGCTCCCCCAGTGCCTATATGCGGCTTCCCACACCCGGCCAAAGACGAATAATGCTTGTGTATGGGCACCTGTGCGCAGCTCGGTACACTTCACCACCGCTTCCGCGACGGCTCTCGCCTCTTCTAGGTCGGCAGCGGACTCCTGTATGTCGAACCTGAACACCAGTGCGAGGACGAGAAGCGCCTCCCACGTACGCCCCCGTTCGGCGCGGTGCCCCTCCGCCACAGTACGCCGCAGCTCCTCAATCTGATGATCGAGGTTAGAACCCCCACCGAGCTGGTCGTACAGCACCAGTTCGCGTTCATACAGCTCGTAAGAGGGTGGGGTGAACTTGGATGGTCGGGGTTCGGAGAGCTCGAACTTGGGGCTTCGGGAGCGTGTACGGAGAGTAGGAGAAAAGGACTTGGTCTTGCCGACCCCACACCCAGAGAGAGCGATCGGGGGGCATGCAGAGGTGGACGCTGTTGGATTGTGGGCTGAGGAGCGCACCATGGTCGTCGTGATCTTTGCGGTTGTCGTCGTCGTCGGGTGAAGTTAGTGCCGCCGGAGACGTAGTATATGGGGGGATATGAGATCTCTTGGCAGGTCTAGAGCAGCTCCTGAATGTCTGTGGATGTGGGGGTGTGCAAGGGACCTGGTGTTCGAGGGGATGAGGCAGGGTGCGCGTGACTCTAATTTCCTCTGCTCACCGTGCAACAATGTTCTGCTTGACGTGAGAGATGACGGTAAGTGAAAGGAGGAAGACAAGCAGAAGGAGAATGGGGCATTTCCTTCGGTTCTGACGTGGTCTTTACGGTGGTTTGAGGTCGGTTGAATTGCCCTTGGTATATCGTCGGCACGTGGCTGATTGGGCACAGGGGAGGACCTGGGAGGCTGAGCCAGGCAACAGGCAACAGGCGGCCTGAGACATCCCCGCAGCTCTCCTTTCTTTGCTCCCATTCACCTCTTCATCTCTCAACTCTCCCCTCTTGCGCCCACCCGCATAACTCCCGCTCCAATACCACATAAACACAGCTTTGTTCCATACGTCCTTCTTCCCGTGCACGACCAACTTTCTCCGCCCATGAGAAGCACCGCACCCACGATCGAAAGTACGATCGAGTCCATTGTATAGCTCAACTCGCGTCGTCCGAGTGGTTACCGGCGGTGCTCAGGTCCGACCCCGCGCTCAACTGTATCAACTGTATAGGACCGAACTGAATCGCCGCTGCCGCGGCATGAACTGTATATCACCAAGACCTTCCCTGTTCTTTGCCCTCACGAGGGCCCAAATTCAAACAACAAGGGCCAGAATCCGACCCTGGGCGCTATACAGTTCCTCATACAGTTTCTGCATTCTAGTTGAATGGCCCCAACGAAGCATTCTCTTTGCTCGATCACTGATCGACGCGAAGCAGAGTCACTCACATTCAATTTTCTTCTGCACCGCCCCAATCCCTGGCCTCCTTCCGCCTTCCGCATGCCGCCGCCCCAAAAGGGGGCATCCGACTTCGGCCGACTATTCGATCACCCCGATCATAGTCCATTATCACTATCATTATCGCCACTGGTAATCCCGCTCCGCTTCCAAAAAGGCTACCGCCAATTAAATTACCACAAGACATCCCGCTAAAAGTCCCGAGACGCTTCGCTAAAACCCCCGAAATGGGTACATGGTGTTGCCATTAATTTCGCCTCAATTTCACCGTGCACAGCCCTCTCGTGGAATGTCCTCTGTTCAAAACTCGGCCCGGCCGGTCAACAACGACGATCACTGCCAATTCTGCTCCGATCCCGCCTTCACGAGCAACTCACCTGCCATCCTTGCGCCCGTAGCGATTCCTTGGTCTCAGGTGGTCGCTGGACTCTTTGGACGTTGAACCCTGGATGACCCCTTCCAAGAGCGCAGGATCTCACCTTGAGTGCGGGGGGATAAACGTTTGTCCGGCGTAGCTGGTGTTGTTGTAGGGAAGGATGGCTCGAAGGATGGGTTACAGCTCTCAGAAGAAAGGCTCGGACATGCGCTTGGTGTTCTACAGAGAAGATCCCGCGATTGTATATGAAGTGGGGCTCGAGGAACCCCTTCCGGGGAATTGACGAGACTCAACAAGGTCCGAGCACGACCTGCTTTGCCGCCTCCTGGGAACTTTCCCTGGAATTTACGGGATCCCCACCAACCTTCAGTAAGACATTTCTACATTCATTTTTATATTCTTCTGACCAGCTTTGGAGTTTGGCCCGGTGTGGAGCATCGGGCGTCCCACATACGGCGACAATACGGTCTATTTCCAGCATGGCTGGAGCACATCGAAGTTTGGACGGAATGTTGTGCGGACGAGTAACCAATGCTGAAACGACACACAACGTCGAAAGGATGTATTGGGAACAGACTCGTGGCGGGGACGACAGAAGGGAACCCAGATCCTGAAACGGATGGTGACGCGGTTTCTTGGACGTCCGCTGGGCCGCTGTGGGCTCCCGGAGAGCACGTATGCATGGCGTCGGAACATGGGTATCACGGTAAGAAACTTTCTAGCTTCGAGGATGGCTGACATGCAACTGCACTTAATTACTCAAGTGGTCGGTGAGGTACCCGCATCTCAGGTGCTCGTGCGTGCAGATGACATAACCACCGCTTCCATGCTTGTGCATGCAAATCCCATAACCACCGGGCGTCACAATCCTGGCGCAAGGTCTCCTGGAGAGGCTAGAAGGCGTTTGCGAGTACTGTACGTCCCATTCTAATTTCGTGTCTGTCCCCCTTCTGATGACTCGTTGCAGTGGCCAAGCAGTACAATCGGAAGCCCCACCATGATGGAACAGTCGCCCTCGGCAGACCTCGCAGAAACGATAATCAAGGACACGGAAGTGGTCGGGCGACAGAAAGGGATTCAGGCCCTTGCAGGGATGACTATGCAGTTCCTTACGGGAATCCGCATCTCGTCCATAGCACCAAGTAACGAGGGGTATCGGCGGGATGGCAAGGTACGTCTGGTTTCTATCCAAGTGCAAGACAAAGCTGACTTGAATTTGGCAGTACATGAAGAACGAAGATCTCAAGATTACCGTGCTTGGCCCCCAGCGCTGGATGGTTTCTGTGACTTGCCGTTGGATCAAGGTGCGGCAGGTGCTTTCTGTCCCTCAACAATGTCTGATCAGGCTCGATAGGGAATGATGACAAGTCGCAGCCAAATCGAGCGAATCTTCCATCTCGAGCCCCCGATGTTTGCGCACAACGTGATCTTCGGGCCAACATCGATCATGGTTCACCTGTTCCTTCGCGGCGATCTTCCCTTCGACTCCTGGGAACAGCTGTTGGATTATGAAGGCGGCGAGATTGCTATCTCAAACCCTGAGCGCCCTTTGTAAGTCTTTTGCTATCATTGTCCTCTCAGATCGATCTAACGCCGTCATAGCATGGAAGAGATACCTCGGCCTATGTGGGCTTCCGGGCAGCACACATGCCTGACGTCGCAACATGGGTATCACGGTAAGACGCTCTACAGCTTCAAAGCGATGTTGGCTGACATACAACTGTAGCTTGCTCAAATGTTCAACGGGGCTGCCGCATCTGAGGTGCTGGTGCATGCAGACGGCATCACCACCGCTTCCAAGCATTATTCAAGAAACACTGGCGATTATGCCCTCACCGCTATTATCACGGGCGAGCACGAGGCTGCTGGTGATGTGCAGTATCAAGTATGTGAGATCTCCCGCGCCCTTATTGTTACTAATCGATGGTACAGCGCAAACGCGCTCGGCAGCTCCTCACCTCACCTGCACTCCATGCAGGTTTGCGTTCCACGTTTGGAACCAAACAGGCCTACGATACCACTGTAAGTGATAATCTCTTTCACAGCAATGTCACTAACTCGGTCAGCAGGAGCTGGTGAACGTGGACGAGCTGGATTTGCCTCCTTGCATTCCACTGGCGCGCGTGCGCAAACTCCAAAAGGCCGACGAGGAATCGCGGGAGAAAATCCAGGCAAGTGTGGCATGTTTAGTCGGCTAGCCTCGAAACTGACTTCAGGCACCAGCAAGAACTCTCGGAGACGACCGAGTTCTTGCAGTTCAAGGAGGTATGGGACAAAGTCTGCCAGGAGGATAGCAACCTGCAGACCGACGCCTATCACCTCGACAATCGGAAATTCAAATCAGAGCTTCGAAAGGCTCACAACCGCAAGGATTTGGACCCGGACGCGTGGGTAGAGGCGAGTATTGTTTCGCTTGGATCTCATCTGTGATGCTAACGAGATGCTCAGCTCATCGAAAACTGTACTACGCTCTGGGACGCCTATGTGAAGACTGTCGAGAAAGTTCGATGCACTCATGCAAAGCGGGCCAAGAGAGACGAGCTCTTCCTCAACAAAACGGCACCTCAAGGTCTCTCCTATACCCACGCCGACCGTCAGGAGATCATCGATCAGATTGACGCGCCGAGTGGGGTCTTGGCTGAAGCGCTCGAGATGCACAGAAGTGCAGTTTTGGAGGTCAGCTACGTATATCGCTTCTTCCTCTTCCGCCTTAATTGCGTCGGGAGACATATCCGACTTCACCACCCTCAATGTCGGCCCTGTGACATCAGTCCAACGGGCAAAGTCGAAGAAACGATCAGCATCCGAGGTTCAGCAGCAGGAGGAAGATGATGAAATCGATGCGATGCTGCGAGAGATCGATGAGCAGGAGAGATTCGATGAGACGGGTGAGGTGAACGTCCTGGGTTGCACCGCGGAAGAGATGGTGAAGGCCTTCTTCCGCTTGCTGGTTGTACCCGCTCTTTATGAGCGAATAACCACAACAGACGTGGATGGCAAGACATAGGCAAGTTCTATATCATTACACCTATGTGTTGGCGCTAACGGATTTCAGGTGTTTGAGCACCCCTGCCATGTGTGCACCGCCCTGGAGTTGTCCAACCTCCAGCCTTGGAAGTTGCCGGCAACTTATGCGCGCCATATGTAAGTAACTCGACAGGCTAGAGATACATGGAGTGCTAATCGAAATATAGCCAAGATAAGCATACGAAAGGCCAGGATGTTCTGGATTCGTACTGCAAGATTGGACAAGGAGGGCGTTTCCGGTGCCCGTTGTGTGCACAAACGTGAGCGCGTCTGTCTACCAACAAATGCCTGATCTGATGCTATTAACAGGCTCGTTAAAAAGATGAAGTTGTTCCGCCACATCGAACAACAGCATGCGGATGCCTCCGAAATGGTCATGAACGAGCGAAGCATCGATGATAAGATCATCGCAGCGGCAGCTCAGGCTAGTGCAGCGAGCGACGGACAACTTAACCCTGCGTGGGACAGGTTGGTCCGCATTGCTCCAGCGTTTGAACGTGCCCTAGAACAAGGGCGCAACTATTTGCTTGTGTACAACAGCTAGTCATGATAAGATGCTCTTGACCGCAATTTTAGCATTGTATTCTATAATGATGTTCCTAAAGGAATCGTGATATATATGTACATATATGGAAAAAGATGTTCTGCAAGGTTGAGACCACGTTATGGGTCAGGTGGATTATGCGATTGAAGATAAACGATCATGTCGTTTGCACATATGACCTGATCGTCTAGAGGTATGATTCGCCCTTACGGAGTGCGCAGACTTTGACTGAGCAAATAGTGGGCGAGGCCGATCCACTCACTCCAGCATTTGAACGTGCCCTAGAACTACGTGTTATCCGTTCCTGATGGTCGTAAGCTTAAGCAGTGGTGGCGCCGCAAGAGAGTTGGCGCCCGCCTCCACACGCTGGTTCAATCGGATACCGAACAGACCCTTTTGCGCGCCTGTGACCACGCTATTTTTATTTGCAAACAGTCACCTATATCTGACATGTAGTGTCTCCCTGGACCGTCTGCTTCTCTACTTGTATCCATTTTCTATCTGGTTGAGATGGCCGAGCCTGCTCTCCCGGTCAAAGTCATACCTGGAATTCCGAGTTCGACATGGGGTGATCCTCAGGAACGGCTCCAAGAAATGCACGGGCCGTTCCAGAGCCGCATAACATCTTTCGTAGCCAGTCTGCCTTGGGAAAAGATCGAACGGCTTGCAAGTTCATATCGCCAACCAAGCCTGATATGCACTGTCAGCCGTGAGAAGTACACCTGGGGCGTCTTCAGCTTGGTTTTAGGTAAGCGACAGACCGGGTCAGAGAAGCCCACTCTGACGCCTTTGCTCTAGAGCTCATTTTTGAGGATGGTGTTCCCTGGGTTATCCGTCTTCGCATGCCGCCTTCAGCTATACGATGGCTGGAACGTATGGAACGATTCGAGGAGCAAGTGCTAGTCAGCGAGCACGCGACCATGCAGCTTGTGAAAGAACGAACCTCTATCCCCGTTCCAGTGCTCATCGCGTGGTCGTCAACACCAGACAACCCGATCGGAATACCCTTCGTTATGCAGGAAGCGATCGTTGGCTACAGGCCCGGACAAGTGGGAATCACGTTTGAAGGCGATCCGGTGAACGAGAAATCCCGCCGGTATACGGAGCAGATTGCGGACTTCCATCTTCAACTTAGCAAAATTCGATTTTCCCAGCTCGGATCCGTGCAACTGGACGGAAAAGGAGGGTATCGTATTGGCCCAGTAGCGCAATGGCAACGTGGACCTTACACGTCCGCGTTGGCATACTATACCTTCTTGGCGGGTAGGATGGTAAGTTTCGCGGCGGCTGGCGACCGTCCGACAAACGCCAAGGAGCGCCAGGACAGATTCAAGAGACTCTTCTCCGCCTGGCTGTATCGGACTGCCATCGTGCATGTTGCAAACTCGGATGACGGAAGAGGTCCGTTCCCCTTGGCACACAATGATTTGCATATGGGGAACACGATCGTTGATGAGGTCGGCCGACTTTCTTTCATATGTAGCTGCATTGATGCCCTTGCAGGATGGCAACATTCTCGCTGTGCTTGACTGGGATCACGCGCACACAGTTCCACTTGAGAGGTTCTCGTCCCCATCTGCCGAATTTGGATCCCTGCCTTACACACCGGAGCGAGGAACCAACCAGCGCTCCAAGCTCTTCCAAGAGTTCCTGCTCGAGCTGGAGCCAAAATACTACCCCACCCCTGCGACTGCCTCTGGCCGTACGCTCGCAGAGCTACACCGGTCAACAGAGGGATGTATCGCGGCGGTTATTGGCGCGCATTTGGAGAACTCGAGGTGCGACTTTGAGTGGGCGCATGATTTGTACAAGCTCGTGTTTGGACCCGAAGCGGACGTGGACAAGGAGTGGAAGAGGATTGTCGATGCCCCGCTATTTCGTAGCTGGATGGAGGGGCTCAAGAAGTTGAAAGATACGAAGACGTGAACTCAAAGATGTGAATGCATTAGTGTTTGTGCTCTCTTTGTGCGGTATTATGCTGAATGAACGAGGTATACTTTCGTCCAATAATCAACTTTCCATCTGCTTGAACTTGATTGCAGAAAGGCCAGTTTTATTTTAAGACAAGATGAACCACCCTGAACAATTCTGAACCACGACGGACTTGAAGCGTGCGGCCACAAAAGTTACACAGATTAGAATTTACAAAAGATTATACCTCTGAATCCCTTTCCACCTCATCAAATACTTTGGCATATGATTTGAGATGCATTCAGTCATTCCTGGACTAGTGTAGCGAACAACGAGTAAAAAACTCGCACTCCAACTGTATATACGGCACGTACATGAAAATCCATGCAAAAAAGCACATATAATTAAAAAAGAACGGGCCTGACCGGGAATTGAACCCGGGACCTCGCCCAGGCGAAAGCGTGTTCACTTCCCTAAGGGCGAATCATACTACTAGACCATCAGGCCGTTGGTGAGATGAGAAAATGTCCTTTTTACTAGATAAGCAAGCAAAAAAATTGCGCGGGAAACGTTCCGTGGACCCTGAACCCTGATTTCTAGTACATAGAACGCGGAAAAGTTCTGTGTCAGACTGATTTCCAGTAAGGACGCGGAAACAGTCTGCACAACTGCCGGGTGGTTGTGGCAAAACCTTAAACCGCCCACCCCTGGCATGGGTTCAGTTCCCAGCCAGGCCTCTGCCTTGTCCTTGTACACATCGACTAAGTTAACTAGTTAGTACTCCTTCCTGAATTATAAAAACAGTTACATATCTAGTATACATCGCAAGGTAAATCTAACAAAGATATAGCTGTGTATATCCACACCCAGCTAATTCCTCTCTTGCACAGCCTGGTCAACCCATTTCCACCTCTCACTAAGCCCTTCCTCCACCCGCCATTGCCTGCCTTCCAACCATCTTCCCACCCTTTCTAGATCCTCTTTTTCCCTCTCCTCCTCCCCCGCACCGTCTAATACGCCCAATTCTCCCCGCTCGCCATGCATGGAGCAGCACACCCAGCCCAGAACGATCATTCCCGGCACCCTCGACTCTCCCGCGTCTTGCACTGCTTGTACTACATGTTCGAGGGTAGAAAGTAAAACACGCTGGTCCGGAGAACTGGCCCGCTCGATGATCGCTATGGGCGTATAGGTAGGATAACCAAGTGTCGGAGAGAGCATACGCTCCACCAGAGTGGGGAGGCGCGCAACTCCCATGAGCAAGACTGTAGTTCGTTTTCTTTCGTATGCTGGAAGCTCGACTTCCCTCCCTCCTCGGCCGACGCCAGTGCAGATTGATACGCTTTCTGCTACTCCTCGTTGTGTTATCGGGATGTCGGCCAGAAGGGGACCGGCGAGCGCAGAGGAAATACCGGGGATGATCAGCGGGTGAAATCCGGCTGCTCGGAAGACGATTAGTTCTTCTCCTCCTCTGCCATAGACGAACGGATCCCCTTGCTTCAATCGAACAACTGTCTCGCCCCTCCTAGCATAGGATATAGCAAGGTCGACAAGCTCATTCTGTGCACCATCGGCATTGCCCGGGAACTTGTTAGCGATATGTAGCTTTGTACTGGGAGGGATGAGAGCCAGGATCTCTCGCGGAACGAGCTTGTCGGATAGGACGATGGTGGCGAGTTGGGTGAGGGCATGGTGTGCTGCCAGTGTGAGGAGGGAGGGGTGTCCAGGTCCGGAACCGACGAGTAGGATGCGGCCTTTGGTCGTGCCGTTTATACCGTTCGGTGCGCCGTTCGGTGACATGGTAGCGACAGGGGGGGATGGGGTGAGGGATGGGAGGAGATGGGAGGTCAAATCCTTCTACGAGTTCGTGATTCAGCAAGCTTCTCGATGTCGTGCTCGAGGAGAAGTGCGATGTCGTGCTTGCCAACGGGGCGCTTGCGAGGGATGGAACGGTGAAATTTGTGGGCGCTTGATGGCGTCACCTCAAAGATGAATCAGGGTCCAGTTGAAGAGAGCGTTTATAATTGGCTTTTCACTGATTGGCTTCTTTTGTTTGTACACTTTTGTTACTTTCTTTTCCTGGGCGGGTAACGTATACCTTACCTGATAATACCACCGGCAACCAGCACTTCCCCGCGGATATCCCCTTTCAACATCCAATTGCAACAACCAACCAACACTCCTGGAAATCGCAGGAGCGTTCGGAAATCGGCCCGCCCGGTGGTTCGTCCCTCCGTCCAGCGCAGCTGGCGGTGCCCTTCTCGCCCGGAGCATCCCGCAAGTGCCGGTTCACCCCTCACGGCGGTGCGGAACCGCCCGAGAGGGAAGTGGTAAGTTTATTTATGAGATAACAATTGCTATTGTCAGGGCCCCTGTTCCGCAGGCACTGCCCCCCTCGAGGCTCACACGTTCCAACCTCGCTGCCTCAACATCCAATTTTGCAAGCGAGCCATGACGTTTTACGCTCTGAACAGGGAGTGACCGATGATCGTGCCGTGTGAACAGGTTGTTTGCCGCAGAGGGAGAAGCATGCGTCTACCGTGTGAGCGCAGGTGGGGACGATGAACGAACACCATGCACTGGCACCGTCTAACACTGCTCCGGCAATCATTGCCATCAGGTGCGTAGTCAACGAGGGAAGGTGGGTTCAAGGCAGGGCCATCCCTAAGTCCGTGATGAGCCAGGAATGATTATTCATTCGGCGTATTAATGGTCGTTTGTCTGCTCAATCCGGAAATACACGAGCATCTTCCCGCTGCGCCCGCCAACTTGCCACAATACAACAACACGCCGCACTACACACCAGTGCTGGACATATATACCTCTTCACTCCTTCTTTTCAGTCGAACAAGACAACGACGACAACTGACAGACGTATCAAACCCCTTACTACCCACCTCCTGTGACACACTTCTATTCTCCTATCTCATACATTTCTTACCCCTCTGGTCGCATTGTTAATTACCCCACCTCGCCCTCTTGATCGAAACGCCCTTCACCGTTATTCCGACGTACAAGAAGTATCTGGAGAAAATGCTGTCGATGCCATTATTAACCCGTCGCCGTTCTCGCTCTCAACCCAATAATCCCCGACCAAAAAACATCCGCGCAAACAACAGCATACAAAGCGTCTTTGGGAGTCGGCAGACCCTCTCTCCTCGTTCTGCTCCTCCTTCTTACACTCCAACCACCACCACCACCACCCCCGTCTCCCCCTACCTCTACCCCCCACCGGCAATGCCAACAATGGCCGTCCCTCTTCAAGGCCAGGCATCCGTCGTCCCCCTCGTACAGCTCCCATACGCCGCATCACCAGCCCAGTACATAACCTACGTGCCCTATGCTTCCACTGCGGGCGCGCGCTCGCCGGCGAGTCCCATCCCACCAATGAGCAGAGCAAGTAGCAGCGGCAAACTTCAGTCACCTAGGAGAAGTCGGGCAATGGCATACGCCACCGCAACGTCGCCGCCAACAACTCCCGTCGCCCAAATACCTATCAGAGTCGCTATCCCCCCGCTTACCGTTCCTCTCCCCCCTACTATCGCCGCACGCACCACTCTCGCTACATCCACGCCAAGGACAAGAACAACATCAAGCAGCGCACCCGTTTCTCCATTATATCACCCCTCCGTAACCCGATTTTGCCCACACTGCAACACTCGTGTGCCAACATCACACCCCTACCAGCAATGCGCTTCCTGCCAGAAACCCCTATCTGCATACCCACAGCGACCTCCCAGCGTCGTCCCCGAAGCAGACGGCTTCGCCATCCCTGGTATCGGAGGTCGGCCCGCAGTGACCCAGCGTGATCTAGGCGGTGGGCGCAGGACAGCCCCCACTACTCCTATGTACTCCCCCGCACCCCCAGGAGGGTACACCCCAACGCACAAGATGAACATCACCGAGACTGCACCTTCTGTTTCCTCAGCCATCGGGAGTCCCATACCAAGCTCGCCGGCGAGCTCACCTGTTGGAGGACCCGAGAGCACCGGGAGCGCAGAACGCGGGCCCGGGAGCACACACCCTGCGGGGAGGGAAGCGCTCGTACTTCCGAACGGGAAGCCGACGGCTAAGCTAGAGGCGTTCAGGGATGCCCTGGTCGATTTCCTTTGTGGGTAATGTCCTCTTTGTCTGCATACACTGTGCTTATGTGCTTCACAGTCAAACAGGTGCCGACCTCTTCCGGCCTGCTGGACATGTCCCGCACGTACTTCCTCGAGTGGGCGATGGGCCGTTCCGACTACCTAACGCTCTTCAACGCCGACACCACCCAGCGTTTATACAACGCCCTGGAGTACCAGTACGCCAACGTCGTCACCCAGCATCCTACCAACCCTGCCGTAGCAGAGCGCACTCCCGCTCTCTCGCGTAAAGGACTCCTCCAGTTCCTCACTCAAGAGATCCTTGTCGATCCCCAAGGCACCTCCTCGAGGCTCAAGAAGCTCCTTGCGCGGTACGCGGCCCAGATTCCTCCTCCGCCCAGGGGCTTCGGGATAGGCGACAGGTGGAGGATGGAGGAACATATGATGCTTCGAGCACCGCATCCGCTAGCGTTGCAAAAACAAAGAAGAGCGGTGATGACGATGCGTGGTCTGGGGTGGGAGCTGCCCATGCCGGCGTAGGCTCTCCTACCCAATCCTGATCGGGTTCCTGCTGGGTTGTATATATTTCCCGTTTCTAACATAAACTGTCAGATAGATACCTTTAATCTCCTTCACATATTCCCCACTTCAAAGTAGCATAACGTAGCACGCAGCATTACAGAACCGCATTCCCCGTCATTGTTCAGTTCATGATAGTACTAATGCCGGACTTGCCTACGATTCCTTTTCCCATGTTTGTTCACTTCCTGTAGATAAGTAGATGTAGATCGTTGAATGATACTTGCCAGTGAATACGATTTCCAAAGTCAGTCGGATTTCCCCGCAAGATCCAGGAGGGCAAGTTGGAACAAGTTCCATATTGATATCATTCAATTTTCGTTCCGAGCAATAGACCACCTAATAATTAACCGACCATAGCTTCACTTCCGTACCATCAATTACCCTGCTTCTCGCCTTCCATCAGAACGCCCATCCCTCACTGACCGTACCCATCCGGGTTCATCGATTGCCACCTCCACAGATCCTCGCACATCGTATCCAGTTCAAGGGGGGCATCGAATCCCAGTTCCTTCCTAGCGAGCGCCGGGTCCGCCGTAAGGTCAGGCACGTCACCCACCCTACGTCCGATGATCTCGTACTGGTAGTTGAACCCGGAGGCCTTGCGCATCGCTTCGATCATGCTGAGCACAGACTGACCACGGCCTTTACCAAGGTTGTACGCCTTGAACTTGCCGCCTTGTTTGGGGAAGATATCGGGCGAGATCTTGGACCCTGGTGCACGCTCGTCTGACAACGCTTCCAGTGCCAGCAGATGGCCCCGCGCCAAATCGAGGATGTGGATGTAGTCCCGCACACAGGTGCCGTCCGGCGTTGGGTAGTCGTTCCCGAAGACTTTGAGGGGGTCGTCTTTGAATTTACCGATGGCGATCTGGGAAAGCAGGGGGAGGAGGTTGCCCGGCTTTCCTCTGGGATCTTCACCCATTCGGCCAGATGTATGCGCGCCAGCGGGACTGCATCGTGCTTATGTCAGCATTCCTTATCATATCTCATGACAGAATTGGACGTACTTGAAATATCGGAGCGAGATTGCCCTCCATTTATCCGGATACGAAGTGCACACATCAGAGAGAATCGTCTCGCACATGACCTTCGTCCGGCCGTACACGCTCTCAGCCTTCAGCGGCGTCGTCTCCGGGATAGGCACAACAGGCGGGGTGCCATACACCGTCGCGCTGCTCGAGTAGACCATGTTGTAGCATCCGTGCTCGGCCATGATCTGCAACAACTGGATCGTCGCGCCGACATTGACAGCGTAGTAGTCCAGGGGGATCTCGGAGGACTCACCCACCGCCTTGAGCGCGGCGACGTGGATGACACCCCATACTGGGCTGCCTGCAAAGACTTTCTCGACATTTTCGCGAGACCTGAGATCCCCGGAAAACGCCTCCACTACCGCAGAGTCACGGTCTTGCTCCGTGGCGTCTGCGGGGAGCGCCTCGGTCGCGATTTCCGTTGCGCGTTTGAGCGCTTCCGGGAATGAGTTGTGACTGTTGTCGATGGACAACACCTTGTATTGCCGTGTCAAGAGAAGGATGAGCACGATGTGCGAGCCGATGTAGCCTGCGCCGCCTGTGACCAGGACGCGCTGTGAATGGTCAGCACCTGAGTCTCCGGACGAAGATATATGCGCACCTTGAGCGGTTGTTGGGGCATTTTGAGCTACTGTGAAGGAGAACTTTGTGCAGTAATGACAGTGACACTCGTATACGGTGTTTATATGCGCCGACAACGGATGTTGAATTGACAATAGACGGGCGTTGCCGGTCCGGAACAAGCGGAATGAAGATGCAGCGAATTGGTGAGCAGAGGGCGTGGAGCGTATGGTCTACCGGGAGGAACTTGGAGAAACAGCGGTGTATGTGGAGTGGTTGCTGGCTATGTACAAGCTACCGACGGCGAAGAGCGTTGAGAGCGGACAACGGAGAGAGAGAGCAGAGAAATGCACGAGGACGACGAGGACGTTGCACACGACAGTGACAAAAGTGATTCGGTTTCGGTGCAGAAAGGGAGTGATTTCCTTATTAGATCACTTTAATCCCGTCATCTCATAAACATTACGTAAATAAGAACAAATCCGACAGATTTTCCGAGGGACCGACGATCTGAACACCTTTCGTTGACGTCATGCTTCTCTAACGGTTCAGAGAGGGTTAAAAGGTGGGCTCGTCCCACTGCACCCTCCAACCTATCCCAGTCTGTACCCCAGATCAAACCTGTCCAGCAAAATGTCCTCAGGTCTCTCCAAGGCGCTCTATGATACCGACCCCTCGAAGGCACACAACCCCCTTGACAAGAAAGACGCTCAGACTCATCCTAATACCGTCGATGCTGCCCATCTCGAGCACAGGGCGAGGGAAAAGGCGGAGGAAGAGACCAATATGAAGAACCGGAAGCCGACTGAGCTGGCCCAAGATGTGAGTACAACAAGGTTGGTTGGGGGGATTCAGTGTACTGATGTTCGGATTGTAGCATGGGAATAAGCCCAGCCGCGGTGCGGAGATCGACGAGGAACTCAGAAAGGATGACGAGCTGAGGATGAAGGAGAAGGGGATCATTCAGTAGAAGACACCGTATGACTGTATAGCGGCCCCATCGGAGAGATAATCAACGCGGCATCCGTAACCAAGCTCATTTTACACCATGTAGACTGAGAACACAACTGACCGTGTTTTGTGATAAACGGCGCAGGAGATAAGTGGAACAATTTGATTGATGCCTACAAGTAGAACTAGGATGATAAAATACAAAAATGCAAAGGTATCGCTACAGACCGTCCATAGCACCTGCCAGGCAGCTCGATATCCCTAAAGTTAAAGAATAATAATACTGCCCGAATCCTAAGCCGACGTCTCTTCTTGGCCCCCAAGCAACCCCGCCATCCGACTTTGGATACCCGTCCACCGGAGTCTTAGAGCCTTGTTGATAGTTTCCTGCTTCTTTAATTTATTCTCGGTTCCCTCAGGCTGTCTCTGTAGTAATTCCAGGTATTTCTCCCCGACCCACAAGCCGATCGACGAATTCCCTTCAGTGTACGAGCTCCTCTGTTCTCCTTCAGGTCGTGCACCCAGGCCAAGGCAAATCTGACGCGAGGACTTGAGGGAAGTCATGGCTCGTTCCGGGAAGGTGAGCTGGTAATGCGAGGCCGTGATACAGAGAACGAAAAGACGTAGGTAGTTGTCTGAACGCCACGTCGTGGTGTCCAACGCACGCTTGAGATGTTGCCTGCACTATTCTCAGGACAGGTTCACACAGTACATTGAATAGCAGACTTACTTGGACTTGTGGATTTCCTTTGCAACGATCGCGCGGAATACCATAGCCGCCTCATTCAGCGGCTCGTCCTTGCAGTCAGCCAGATCAAGCAAGAGTTCCTCACATGCTAGCTCAACATCCTCCCCCAAGCCGAGTTTCAGCCCAAGCAGATCTAAAGACACAGCCCGACGGATACCATCGTTCCCCTGTTCTGTCGCAAAGTGGTGAGCCATGGCGTAGCAGTCCAGGGCGCGTTCGACGCAGAAGACGGAATGAGCGAGACGGCCATGTAACAACGAGATAAGAGGGCTAAATTGGATAAAGAGGTCCATTGTCACGGAGCAAGTATAGTTGATCACATCGTCAAGGTACTGCGCTAAAGTTAGGAATGCTTATAGAAGAGCTGAGACGTCGTACCCTCTTCGCTTCCTCAAACTCGCTCCTCATGATAGCCACGCTGATCATTTCGCATTGTAAAAGGGCTTTGATCTCATGCAGCTGTCTTTCGACCATTTTCTTCTCTTTGAGCGAATACCACCGAGGGACTGTCATGCATACATCAACCCAGCGACATGTATGCGGTGCAAAATGACGTACGTTCATCCATTTCTTCTTCAAATAACTTCAACCCCTCTGAAGCCCAGATACCTCGTTTACTCTGACGTCCAGAGGCGTCACGGCTCGCCACGGCCGCGACGAGACAAGCCAGAGCCAGGAGAAGTTTCTTCGGTGGGCAAGAGATTAGAATAGGGATGTTCCGGGGGGACGTAGGTATCGATGGGGCTGCTGCGCATAGAATATGGTCCAGCAATGCAGGTAGGGAGTCGAGGAGAGATGCTTGCGACTGGCAATAGTCTTTGCTTGCCCGAGAGGACGCATAATGCAGAAAGGAAAGGATCTGAGCAATAAGGAGCAGAGAAGCGTCCGGACCCCGGAGAGTAGACACATCGGGAAAGGAAGCCAGAAGGGAATGACAGTCGTCTGGAAAGTCATCCGGTTGGTCTGGCAGAAGGTGAGAGAGACGGAGAAGTGAATGTATGCGTGTGAAGACGGGGTCGACGCTGGGCGGGTTGGCGAGGTGGCCTAGCTGAGTGGATACTTGGCTCGGGGTGAGCGAGGACAAGATATGACTGTGATGCAGGTAGTGGAGCCATGTTGCGTCGCTCTTCAACTTCCTACATGCCTATCAGCACAAATCCCACGATATGAAACCATGACCCACGAATGGTGGGCGCAAGCCGCCTTGGACAGGTTCAATGCTCTCCGTACAGGTCCATACGCCGCGAGCCGTACTTGAAGATACAACAACGGGGAGACGTAGTGCGAGAGCGTGGGGTGGGCCTTGGCAATGACGAGCTTCGACCCGATTAATATAGCGCATACATCTGCTGGAACTCACTCACCCCTCTCTCGATCCCCTTCTCCGCCTGTCCAAGAACGCCCTTCACCCATTGCTCTTCAAGCTCTGCATCAAGCACCAGCAAGCCCACCTCAGCGAGCCCAGTCAACGCCCGCACCTCCAGCTCAGCTGTCAACGTCAATCTTGAACACCGACTCACAGCAAGCCAGGAGACATATAGCGCCGATACGTAATTGGGGCTGGAAGGCGGTTCGAGCACAAGCTGAGGGATCATCAGGAGTAGTACGGCGTCTGGAAGTTTGGATAGTTGGTCCTTCGGCACTGGCGCGCTCGCCTCAGAGACGTAGAACTTTGCTGGTCTCGTGACCGGCATAGGGGTTGTAGGTGTATCAGACAGATCGGAGGGCGCATCCGCTCCATCCGCCCCCTGCTCAGCGGCGAGCATCGACGGCGTAGTACGCGTCGACGCGTCGCTCATCGGGGACAACTTTCTGCGCTTCAGTCCTCGTTGCGGTGTTGTGATGTCCAGCGGTGATGCGCGTTTGCTCGCCGTTGGAAGCATAGATATCGGGTCTGGCGAGGAGGTCGCTGGCCAGGTGCTGACACTCGGCCGTACAGGTGTGAGAGCCATGGTGGGAATCGAACAGAAGCACGCGTCCCAGTCACCTTATCAGCCCTGAGCGGAAGCTGTCATATATTACATTACTGTGTCTAACATACTCCGCTTCTCTGCTTCCAACCACCAACTGAAATGGCATGACATGACTAAATCGCAAGTTGTTGAAAACTATACGTCTGCTAGGATACAACACTTCTTATCTTGCGAAAACACATATTAATGAGAACAACATCGTGCAACGTGCAACATAAACAGTCATAAAAGCATCAAATGGCATGAACCCTTGCTTCTAGCTCTTGCTCCTCGGATCACCAACTGGTAACCCCTCTCTCCACAGGACGAGTGCATGGACCCACTGGGCAAGTCTTCCCTGTGCGTCTTTCATCTCCTTTGCTTCGGCAGTCTGCTCGTCCACCTGCATCGCCCGCCGTGCATCCTCGTCCACAAGACGGGAAGCAGTGAACATCAGGTCCTGAAGTGCGTTCTGCAAGCTGTCGAGTTCTTCGGGGGTAAAGTGTTTCCACCAGCGAACAAGAGGGTGTTCTTCCGCTTTCTGCTGGACAGGAAGGGGGGAAGCAGAAGTAGGGGTGGCAAACCCCGGCGGGTAGCTAGGCATAGGCGCATATGCTTGTGTCTGGTTCTGAGCAGCAGCCTCCCGGACACGAGAGGACGCGTTCCTTCTATGTTTCCTCCTCTGAGCGAGGGCGCTCGTCCCTGTCGCAATCGCGTTCTCCCCGGGGGGGAAAGCGAGCCTGAGCTTGGGCCTGTACAGTCCTGCCACACCCTGCCCTAGCAAAGCTAGTACCTCCGCTCAGCACTCGCTATGAAGCTCAGGGAGGCACGCACCTGCAGGTACGAACACAGGCGCGTTGCCCGTCAATACAGACGCCGGCCTGCTCACGCCCTCGTTCGCGCTGCCTGCACCGGCGGGGTCGGACATCGGCCCAGAGGAGGGGAATGCAGGTGTTGGGAGGGCACTGGTGGTGAGTGAAGGAGGGAGTGGACTGCCCAAGTCGGGTATATGCTGTGGCGCTAGAGGGCCCTCCATGCCTTTTCGCCGTTTGGGCTCAAGAGTGAAACCGCAGTGGTATTTGAACGTTAGACAATGGTCGTCAGAAGTCGCGTTAATCGCCGTCGTGGTCGGTTCATCCGCCGTCGTGGTCGAGTAATAAGTAGTTAGACCCAGTCGATATCAAGAAGAGTAGTAAGGGTGAGCCGGTGCAGGCTGCCTCTGCCGCACCGCCTAGATAACCCTCTGCGGTGGGCAGAAGGAGAGAGAGAGGGGCCGTACGCACAGGACACACCGCTGCTTGAGCGTCCATGGTCGAGGCGGACAACGTGCGCTGGCACACAGCATCGCCACTCATTCGTTGTGACTTGCCGAAAGAGGGCCGTTGTCTTTCGGTGTTTACGGAGTTGTCAGCCACCGTTGTCTACCGTATTTTTAGGCTGTCTTCCCTTCTAATAAAAACAAGCTGCCGTTCATCTCCAACAGAGTACAATCCCATTTCATTCTTTTACTTTCATTAGTACATTTCCAAGCACACTTCCCTTCAACCCGATTCCCGATTCCTCTTCAACTCCCCTCAAAACTCCTCTGCAATACGCACCACCATCTTCCCGCTCATCTCCGGCTTATGTGTATCTTCGATCAACTTGCTGATCTCTTCCATCTTGTAGACGTGCGTACGTACTTCAAGGTTGTGCTCCGCGAACATGTTTATCCTAGTACCCGCAACACTGTTATTTCGAAAGCATATGAAAACAGGAGACGCACATATCCTGACAGTCTTCGGGGGAGGAGAGGACGCTCCCCTTGATCGTCAGATCACGCATGATAAGCTGAAAGTAGGGCACCGGGATATCCTCCTTAGGTTGGCCAAGGACGACGACCGTCCCGTGCTTCCTGGTCAGCTCAAGCGCATACCTATACGCCGGTATCGCGTCCGTCGCTACGACAGCAGCGTCGACTTCAAACGGCAGCTTAGCGAGCGCGTCGTTCACAGGTGTTAGGGAGGAGTTGATACACTTGTCCAGGGGGTGGGAAAGCGTTGCGCACAGGTCCAGAGGCGCTTGGCGCGAGTCGATGGCAACTACCCGGAGGCCCATCACTTTGGCGAATTGGACCCCCAGGTGCCCGAGCGCCCCGCAGCCGAGGATGGCTACTGCTTGACCAGGGGAAAGGGCGCAGCGTAGGAGGCCGCAGTAGACCGTTGCTCCTGCACAGAAGAGGGGCGCGGCATTGTCGAACGATATAGACGCGGGGAGGGGGATAGTACTCTGGGGCGAGGCGAGCATGTATTCCGCGAACGCGCCGTCGGCTGTCACACCGGCGAGGTTCGCATCTGGTACGCATTAGCTTGAAAAGAGGAAGGAGGGGGGAGGGGAAGACGTACGGGTGCAGAACTTCAAGTCGCCTGCTTTGCACTCTTTACAACTGCCACACATATCCCTATAGTTCAAGCATCCAACCCTCATCCCCACCTTCCATTTCTCCCCATCCACACCCTCTCCCACAGCAGCCACCCAGCCCGTAGGCTCATGACTCGGTATCTGGGGGAGCGGGTCCCTCAGCGCCAGCCTAGCAAAGTCCCCGTTCAGCACCAGCGTCTCCGTATGGCAGTACCCTGCAGAAGCGATCTTGATGAGCAGTTGACCCTTAGCGGGGGAAGGAACGGGGATGGAGGTGTTGAGCACGTAGGGCTCGCCCCAGTGTACGATCTGCAGTCCACGCATTGTCTGCGGTATAGATGGCATGTTGGAGTGTTGACAGTTACGAGATAAGTTTGAAGACGAGGTGTAATTGACCGTGTGAGTCGGGGTTAAAGTATGCCATTTACTCCGTTCTCAGATGGAGGTTCAACTCATTCAAAAAGTGTGTCCTATGACGCCTCCCAAGGACCCTTGCTTAGATTGATTATGTGGCTATGCAGTCACGTGAGGATACCTCCGACATCTTCTGGGCAAGGTCTTCCTCTCGACATTTCACTCGTCTGCGCGACTTTGCTACCCTCCGACCCAACACCGACGCTGACGACGACGACGACGACGACGACGACGATAGCGACAACCAGATAAATGCATGTCGCACTACGACCCCGACAATTGGGGCACATCGTCACTTCTGTCCGACTACTTCATTCCTCCCCACTCGCACATGTCGATCTCAACTCTCTCAACCCTCCTAGACCAGCAGGCAGGGGACGTGGCGTGCCGCTCAATGTCGGGGGTATGTTATTTGATTGTGAGTATCATAGTACTACATTGGGGGGTACACTGAATGTTGTTGGAAGTGACGAGACCGGACGGCGTTGCTCCTCAAGCTCCTACTCCCAAGCCAGTTCAGGCAGATGGTACCAGACCCAAACATGAGCCGCTCGCTAGACGGCTAGCTCAACGAAGGCGGGCAGACTATTTACCTATGACTCCGTCGTCTGTTTCTGGCTTGCCACCTCTTCCTGTTCCGGAAACGAGTGCTTCGGATGGCGAAGAAGGACAGTTTGATGATGCACCGACCTCTCCTCATGTTGCCCCCACCGCCAACGCTTCACAAGATCAAGTGCAATCCAAAGACGGATCATCTACCTCACAGCAATCAAGTCCCCTCGCTCGTCTTCCTGTTAAGCTCACCCCGTGGGAGGAAGAACAACGCCGCCTCGCACAGGAGCTCAGTTTGCGACAGGCCGGGGACGCGCTAGACAAGATGAATGCCACGCAGGGTGACGTTGCGGAGAGAACTTGGAAGCCTCAGAGAGGGATGTACAAACAAGCCCGGAGTCAAGCGCTGAGAGAGGACAGCCAGCGTCAACCGCGGGTGCGAGGCGAACCTCCACAGCAACAGTATGTGCAGGAAGGCGAGGGACCTCGGCCTCCCCTCAAGCGGCTGTTTGGGCCTCGATCGCGTTCTGAAGACGCTGGAATGGGCAGAGGTGCTCCTTCTTCACGGGGAAAACAGCTCTTTGGCCCTGGTGCACGACGTCCTCTAGCCGGTCGCACGGGTATCACGGCTGGCGAAGGAGGCCCAGGGGACTTTCCCTCCGGACCAAACGTACGCTCTGGGCCATCCATGCGTGCCCGTGGTGGCCCTCGAGGTCGCGCCCGCGCCCGCGGCCGTGCCCGCCGTGCTGGGCCCCCTAGACCCGTCTGCCCTCCCCTTCCTCGCCCTGTCGACGCCTCCACCGCTGCTGAAATAGCGTACCTCGAGTCCCTCCCTGACGATGTCATCGCTGCAGTAAGGAAAGGGTGGATGAAGGATGTAGCCTCGCCCGAGGTGCCGGAAATAATCAGGGAGGGAGGGGAAGGGGCGATGGATATGAGCCGTCTCCCCGGTGGGGAGAAAGACGTGCGGCTCATAGTGACCTTGCCTCTAGGTCGCCAGGCCCCCTCTCCGCAAGCAGCTCTCTCTCCACCCGAGCTTGGTCAGCCCGCCCTGGTACCAACCACCGCTCCCTCTATCCCAGCATTCATTTTACACCACCCGCTGAGCGAAGGCACCCTGGTCGAGTCCGCCTTGGGCGACTACACGCGATACGTCGACTTCCTCCCCTCCTCCGTCCTGCCCTCCGGCTCCGTCTCATCCCCCAATGTCGGTGTCCCAATGACCGTGCCACCTGCTGGGCTCTTCCCCGAAGGCTCGATCCTCCACACACCTGCTTCCCTGGCTCTCGCCCGCCCCCCACCGAACCAAACACACCAAGCCTCTATCCTCCTCTCCCAAAACGCATCCGTGCCTTTGGCGCTGAAACGTGAAGGAGGACTGGAATTCGCTACCCTAGGGAAGGGGAAGGTGAGGCATAGGCTGGTGAGGCTTGAGATGAGAAAGAATGGTTATCGGAGACCGAGGGTCGGGCTTGGGAGCGAGGTGCAGATCACCCAGGGAAAGTAAAAAAATGTTTCAGGGCGATGTAGGTGAGGCCAGAAATGGGATAAAAACACTTGTCTGAAAAGTCTGGCGAGACGAATCGCAGCTGGAGAGCGATGCAGGAAGGACCCGAAGCTGTCGAGAGAAAAATTCGCTCGTAGTAAATTTGTGCTAAGGTGTCTCTGAGAGCCTGGTAACTCACTAACACTAGAGGAGACTAGCTAGTACCTCTGAGCACCACTGAGCCACAGCCATGGGTACTTTCCCTGTCTACATCCGTGCCCCACTTGCCAGGCTGGAGAGTGAAACAGAACACAGTGAAACTGAAGTCTCGCAGGAAACCATTGCGCCTAGTTCCCTCTCCCAATCCAAGCACTACAAGGGTATATGATAAACCACAACAATGCGCAGTACTATACATCCCAGTCCATCTCTTCTTCGTCCTTCTCCTCCTCCTCTAACCAATGTCCAGTGTCCATCGTCTTCTGCTGTACCTCAGACTCAGGATATCGGACCTCCACCCAGGTGGGTATCTGGAACTCTCGTTCTTCTTCCACTCCTGCTCCTAGAGGGACGCCGAACGCTGTCGGTCTGCGCAGGTTACGTTCCGCTCTAGAGGGACGCGAAGCAGCGCGTACAAGGACGGGTGTCTGCGGCGGCGGGGTGCGCTTGCGTGCCGACAGGTTAGGCACAGAGCGGTATGTCGTCAGCGTTCGGCAGCCAGCAGCGTCCATGCTGCTCCCGAGTTTAAGCTGTCCTGAGGCGGTGCGCTTTAGCCCGATGCTGAGCTTGGGCGCGAACCGACCGTGCGAATCGCGTCCGTGAATGCGCACGACTGAGTTCGGTGAGGTGTGAGAGTTGGTCGACTGCTGAGAGCGGTGGATTGGCAGTGGTGTCGTGGTGAATAGTGGCTGCTGGGAGCGGGGGCGGGATGCGGCCATAGGGGTGCCTGGGTCGGATATCGGCGAGGCAGAGGCAGCGGCAGCGATGTACCCTGCAATGGAGGGGGCGTCGATGCCGCGAAGTTCGGCGACACGGTTCTGAGAATGAGGATGCTGATGGGGGTGAGAGTGAGGTTGAGGTGTAGAACGCGCAGAGTTGTTATGTGAATATGTCGTCGCTTGTTTTGGACGACCTCTGTTAGGGGTGTGCACAGGTGGCTCGGACATCCGTCCCCTCGGTCTTCCACGGGTTGAGGTGGAGCTCGCCAGGTCTTCCCTCGCTTTCTCCGATGCTTCACCAGGTGTCTCCTTCTGAGTCTTCTCCACTCTGGGGCCTAAGAGCGCCTGGTACTTCTGGTCGAGCTCCTCTGCGCCTCTTAGCATGGCCCGTTTCTTCTCCTCCCCTCCGAACGCAGCGGCGTCCATAAGCACGTACTCGTTCAGTCGCTGCTTCAGGAGGTAGTGCTCATGTGTCAGCTTCTCCACCTCACGCTTCCGCTGCCTGCGTTCCGTAGCCTCGTACTTCCTATGTCGGGCAAGGTACGCCGCATCAGAAGTATCCTCGACCTCTTCTGCTCGGGCACGCAGGCGACTCCCAACGAGCTCGGCATCGGTGAGACGCGTGAATGGAGGTTTAGAGGGAGTAGACGAGGACGCCGCGGGCACAGACTTGGACAGCAGCGGGAGGGGCCTCTCAGGCCCATCGACAGATGGCAAACCCTTCTCACGGGTCGTGAGCAAGAAGACTGCGTTTTCTGGGATAAGAGGTTTCTCGTCTACGAACATCAGTAAGCGTACACAGAATCAGAATGTCGTATATGCGCACCTCTCTGCTGGATATAGTGCATAATCTGGTCATCGACGAGGTTGCTTCCCAGGCCACCCATGCCCGCCCTCCTCGCTCGATAGGGTAAGACACGTTTCTTGGGTTGTCCAGCATCCTTCCCCTCCCCCGCTGCCACCTCGCTCTCCCCACCTTCCTGCTCTGCCGATAAGACGTGGAACGTCTCCCTGCGCTTGCCGAGCGCTTTTGCGCTGGGACGTGGTGGACGGGGGTCGGTGGCGGGCGCGTGCCTGTCGGGTGGAGCGGACGACCGCGCTGGGGTTGGCATTGCATTGCCTAACTTTTAATGAAGCGGGTGGTGGTAGAAGGTGAAGAGGAGGAGGAGGAGGAGAGGGTAAATCGTTGTGCAAATACTGCGACGGGTAAGAGTGGCGTGCTCCCTCTTGCACCTGGCCCTTACAGCAATGGGCACATCACGAATCCGCGTCCGCACCCGTGAAAAGCGATTCCAGCCCCAATCCAGGAATCCAGGGCGGGACCCGCAACCAAGATTACTGGCCACATGCCCACGGATGTATACTGTACTCAGACTCGGATAGGACTTCCCTGTACCTGGACTGGTGTGAGAGTGAGATCCCCACTGCAAGCACTTATTACTTTTGCCGGCCCTTTCCTGTGCAGCTGTTGGTTGGACCAAGTCTCAGTTGGTGAATGCTGTGTCCAGCTTGAGTTCTAGTGTGAGCAGAAACCCCATCCCCAGATCTAGCTCTAGAGTGAGCAGAAGGCCTGCCTCTGGCTATGGCTCTTGGGGTGTGCGGGTAGGACTACCAACCTGAGGAAATATCTGAAGACTCACACAACTGCAAGTCCCTGCCAGAATTCAATTTCTGAGTACCATGGGCAGTTTACAATTGTATCTCCACCAATTCAATGCAATCTTTTTGTTGGCATCTAAGCCTTCAGCACATTGGATGATGCAAATGCATTGTTCACTGCTGGTTCAGGGAAGCGAGACTGGGGGATGTGATACAATAGAGTTTGATCAAGCTCTTCATCTAGAGCCTAGAACTTGCTTCATGTCAGGGCACCAGCTCATTGCTTGGTCAAGAGACATGACTAAGCCTTTATGACATGGAAGTAGCTGGTATACCTTGGCATGTGCTGGAACCTGCTGGAAGGATTGGATGGTCAGGTGACCTGCTGTGCATGGCTGTGCATGACCTCATAT